AAAAACTCATTTATAAATTCATAAAGGACGATTATCCCTATTGGTAACAAAACAGGCTTCCAAACCAGGCAGATTAACTCTCTGCACGTCAAAAGATCATACACGGAAACAGGGTCAAGGCAAATGCAAATCCGAGGACCCGAGATCTGGAACAACCTACCGCTAAACATTAGAAACATCTCCAACCTGATTACTTTCAAAAAGAAATTAAAGGAGTATCTCTTAAATTGTCAATGACACAAGGCATTTACATGCAAAGCCAAACAATGTAGCTCTATTTCTAATGATGTGATCATAATATTCTATTCAATTTTAATCTTCTTTTATATCTCCCCCACCAATGTATTTGTTATTGTTTCTACACAATTATTATTAGCAATAGTAGTAATACTGTTATCATTATAATTATCATAATTGCTATTATTATTTATAGTATTACTATTATTATTATGATTTTGATTACTGTATTACTGTACGACGCCACAATCTATGTAAAAAGAAGAACCATTGTAATTAATGGAATAAAGTACTTTGACTTTGACTTTGATTCTCTGTGTCTGTGTGTCTGTCTCTCTGTGTCTTTGCCCGTTCGTCTGTTTGTCTCTCAGTGTTTGTGTCCACCTGTCTGTCTCTCCGTGTCTGTGTCCGTCTGTCTGTGTCCGTCTGTCTGTCTCTCCGTGTCTGTGTCCGTCTGTCTGTCTCTCCGTGTCTTTGTCTGTCTGTCTCTCTGTGTCTTTGTCTGTCTGTCTCTCTGTGTCTGTCTGTCTGTCTCTCTGTATCTGTGTCCGTCCGTCTATCTGTCTGTCTCTCTGTGTATGTGTCCGTCTGTCTGCCTGTCTCTCTATGTATGTGTCCGTCTGTCTGTCTGTCTCTAAGTGTCTGTGTCCGTTCGTCTGCCTGTCTGTCTTTGTCTGTGTCCGTCTGTTTGTCTTTGTCTGTGTTCGTCTGTCTGTCTTTGTCTGTGTCCGTCTGTCTGTCTTTGTCTGTGTCCGTCTGTCTGCCTTTGTCTGTGTCCGTCTGTTTGTCTCTCTGTGTCCGCATGTCTGTCTTTGTCTGTGTCCGTCTGTCTGTCTTTGTCTGTGTCCGTCTGTCTGTGTTCGTCTGTCTGTCTTTGTCTGTATCCGTCTGTCTGTCTTTGTCTGTGTCCGTCTGTCTAGCTTTGTCTGTGCCCGTCTGTCTGGCTTTGTCTGTGTCCGTCTGTTTGTCTCTTTGTGTCCGTCTGTCTGTCTTTGTCTGTGCCCATCTGCCTGCCTTTGTCTGTGTCCGTTTGTCTGTCTGTTTGTCTCTTTGTGTCTGTGTCTGTCTGTCTGTTAACAGAAATGTTCATAAATATTCTTAATCTTCATCGTCTTCACAAACCTTCGTAATTATTTACAAATCCTCATTATTATTAAAGCTTTCATAATCTTCAAAAATCTTCCTAATTTTTAGAAACCTCCATCATCCTCCTTTTGTTTTGTTTTTTATCTTCATTCATAATAAAAAAAATCTTCATTAGTTATATAAAAAAAGTCTTCATTCATGATAAAAAAGTCTTCATTCATGATAAAAAAGTCTTCATTCATGATAAAAAAATCTCCATTCATGATAATCAAAATCTTCCTCACCTTCAGATCTGGCCTCGGCGTCTGGCCCACTCTGCCACGAGGTGCCTCGTCACCCTCGCCTGGATTTCCTTCACTCTCCTGTATTTCGGGTAAAAATTGAATCGTCAAGTCATAGTCCAGTCAAAGTCTAGTCGACATTTACTTTTTGAGGGACAGATGAAGAGATGGTGGTCAAGTAAGAATTGTCAGTGAACCTGTTAGTGAGGTAACAGCTGTTAGGGAAGCAAGACCTGTTAGGGGAGCAAGACCTGTTAGGGGAGCAAGACCTGTTAGGGAAGCAAGACCTGTTAGGGAAGCAAGACCTGTTAGGGAAGCAAGACCTGTTAGGGAAGCAAGACCTGTTAGGGAAGCAAGACCTGTTAGGGGAGCAAGACCTGTTAGGGAAGCAAGACCTGTTAGGGAAGCAAGACCTGTTAGGGAAGCAAGACCTGTTAGGGAAGCAAGACCTGTTAGGGAAGCAAGACCTGATAGGGAAGCAAGACCTGTTAGGGAAGCAAGACCTGTTAGGGAAGCAAGACCTGTTAGGGAAGCAAGACCTGTTAGGGAAGCAAGACCTGTTAGGGAAGCAAGACCTGTTAGGGAAGCAAGACCTGTTAGGGAAGCAAGACCTGTTAGGGAAGCAAGACCTGTTAGGGAAGCAAGACCTGTTAGGGAAGCAAGACCTGTTAGGGAAGCAAGACCTGTTAGGGAAGCAAGACCTGATAGGGAAGCAAGACCTGTTAGGGAAGCAAGACCTGTTAGGGAAGCAAGACCTGTTAGGGAAGCAAGACCTGTTAGGGGAGCAAGACCTGTTAGGGAAGCAAGACCTGTTAGGGAAGCAAGACCTGTTAGGGGAGCAAGACCTGTTAGGGGAGCAAGAAGTAAGAGTGAAGTAAGGAGTGCCAGTGATTCAAAACCTGTCATTAAAGTAAGTGTTTCATCAAGAGTGGAAAGGGAGCCACATATCTATTCAAAGGATCGACGGAAGACGATAATAATAACGACACTTGTAATAATCATCATAAAAATAATCTCAATAATAATAATAATGGTGATGAAGATGCCGATAGTAAAATAATAATTATGATAATAACTACAATCCTAATAACAATGATGGTAATAATTATTATAACTGACAATAATGATAATGATGATAATCATAATAATGATAATAACAGTAATGATAAAAATAACAATAACTAGAACAACAATAATAATAATCAAAATCATAATAATAAGCATCAGCAAAATCATAATGATAATAGTAATACTATAAATAATAATAGCAATTATGATAATTATAATGATAACAATATTACTACTATTGCTAATAATAATGATAAGGTTGATGGTGATAATAAAAATAACAGTTATAATAATGACAACATTAATGATAATGATGATAATGATAACCATGATACTGACAATAATAATAATGAAATGATTATGATAATGGTACTAATAATTAAAACAATGATAGTGACAAAACAAAAACAAAAACGAATGTTTGAAGGCTTTGCGAATAGTAGTAGCATTGAACATTATAATCTGCTGAATAGTCATGATTTTTTCCATTCTATTTGGAGCTTCCACAATGTTCTGCTTGTAACTGAAAAGCATAACAGCATATTTAGTACTGACTATTGAGTTTTTGTGTGAAATTAAGAAAATATAACTTCTCCTTTTTCAAAGCATTGTAAATCAGAACAAACTTCAACGATATTGTGTTTCTTAGCTACCCTGATAGACGAACTAATGCATCATAGTGTTTGGGGCTTCGGGATGCTTCGGAAAGGCCTCTTGTGAACCATTCCCTCTCTCTGTCCAGCGTCCTGACAGGCGAGGAGGACGTGGATCCCTCGCAATTCGAGATGACTTCGACGTGTCCTCCACAGCGACACGTCATGTTTCTCAAGACACATAAATGCGGTTCCTCTACTGTACAGGTGAGTCTCCGCGTGTCTTCTAGGATACTTGTGAAGACCAAGAAAGGTGGGATATGTTATATTAGTCGAATGTTTGTTATTGTAAAAGCGTGGGTTTCTGTGGTTAGAATAGTAGTTGCATGTTTTGTGAATAGATTCGATGAGGCAGCTTCTGTGAAGTATGTATAGTGATGATGGTGATAGTAATGGGGTAATGTTACATACACCATATGTTATTACCCTCATCCACTTGTTCTTCATAAGGCAGACTCCCAAATAGAGCACGAGGGAAGTCTACAGCCTCATGAGATCACAGGTTGACAAATCAGAATCTCTGAGGCATATCAACTGCAGTAACGCTATTTCACTTTATAATACATTCACAGATGGTTGATTCCAGAAGTATATAAGCAACGAAAGAACGTAAGTTCGGGATTTCATAAGAATAATTATATGGGCAATTTGCACAAGGTTTATAAATAGTCATAATTCACATCCAATTTTTATTCACTTTTGTAAAATGCTTCATCGTGTAATGACTTTCAACATACATTAAATCTGATTAATAAATAGAAAGATTAAGATTTATTTTATGGTAAGTTAAAAACTTCCCTGGTTTCAGATTTTTTTTGTGCTAATTATAGAAATAACTTTTATTAGTGTAACTGACGATAATGATAAAAACAAACATGATGGGGATGATGATGATGGGGATGATGATGATGTAATAATACTGATGGTTTTGACAGAATGTGCTTCTCCGATACGGCATCGCTAAGAACCTTTCGTTTGGGCTTCCTCTGCATGGGAGGGATTTCAGCAACAAAGAAAAGTTCACGGTACGTAACACATACGGCTGTTATCTCACCCTCCCTCCCTCCCTGTCTCTCTCTTTCTCTCTCTCACGCAAACACACACTCACTCACACACACACTCTGCCTCTCTCTCTCTCTCTTTCTCTTTCTCCCTCTCCCTCTCCCTCCCTCCCTCCCTCCCTCTCTTTCTCTCCCTCTCTCTCTTTCTCTCTCCTCTCTCTCTCTCTCTCCCTCCCTCACGCAAATACACACACACACGCACTCTCTCTCTCTCTCACGCAAACACACACTCACACTTACTCTGTCTGTCTGTCTCCCTCTCTCTTTCTCTCCCTCACTCTCTCTCCCCTTTCCCTCCCTCTCTCTCCCTCCCTCTCCCTCTCTCTCACTCCTTTTATCTCTCTCTTTCCCTCCCTCTCTCCCTCCCTTTCTCTCTCTCTCTCCCTTTCCCTCCCTCTATCCCTCTCTCTCTTCTCTCTCTCTCCCTTCCCTCCTCTCTTTCCCTCCCCCCTCTCTCCCTCTCCCCCCCCCCCCTCTCTCTTTCTATGTATCTTTATCGCTAGTGTTTTATGATACATCAGGTGTACATCATCTCTTCTACATCACACAAAAGGAAAAGTTGCATCTGTGAAATATCAAAATCTGTTACACACGCAATACCTTTGTGCTGTTGCATGCTCTCGATTGGCTTCTCCGGTCCAACTCCCGCTCACCCCTTGGCGCTTCCTCAGGCCAGCATGATCCCCGAGGCGCTGCTTCCTCCTGACGGGAAGGTGGACATCTTCGCCGTCCACTCGCGGCTCAACGTCGAGGAGCACAGGAAGGTCGTGCACAGGGACGCCCGCTGGCTCACCATCGTCAGGGAGCCGGCCAGCCTCTTCGAGTCCCTATACACCTTCTATGGCATCGCCCCCTGGTACAGGCTGGACGTGACGGAGCTGAGGAATGTCCCCCTGGAGGTGAGAGAGCCAGCGCCCTTTCCCTGTGTCGGCCTCCCTTCCTTGTTGGCCTCGATGCGTTCCCTCGCATGGGCGACTCCTTTCGAGTCTGACGTCAGCCATCTCTGTCTTACTTCACAGAAGCTGAAGGCCCTTCCTCGCTTCGGGGAGGTTTTCGGCAAGAACCAGATGCTGTTCGACCTGGGCTTCCCCGACGACCTGTCCGAGGCGCGGCTGCAGGAGGCGATCGAGGAGACCGAGCGCCTGTTCGACCTGGTGATGGTGGCCGAGCGGATGGACGAGTCGCTGGTCCTGCTGCGCCACCTGCTGTGCTGGAGCCTCCACGACGTCGTTGCGTTCGCCAAGAACGCCCGTCGGGAGGGCGTGAGGCCCGCCCTGGACGCCCACACGCGGCGGACGCTCCGCGAGCTGAACAGCGCCGACGTGCGCCTCTACGAGCACTTCCTGGCCAAGCACCGGCGCGCCGTGGTCGACTTCGGCGTAGGCAGGATGGCGCGCGAGGTGGCCGCCCTCAGGAGCCTCCGCGAGCGGTACTTCGGGGAGTGTGGTGTGTACCACGTGGAGGGCCACAACCCTTTCCCCAAGTTCAGGGAGTACTCGGGCCTCGTGGGCGCCTACGCCACGGACAGCGCCGACGACCAGTGCCAGAGGCTCTCCTTCTCGGAATTGGCGCTCATAGACGAGGCGAGGGACAGACAGATGGCTTTCCTCGAGAAAGACAGGCTCTCGCAGCAAAGGTCCGGCTTACACGTTTAGAGTTTAGAGTCTCATCCGTGATTTCTGTGCGCGCATACAAGCATACTGTGTGCAAACGATAGCGTCTAAAATGGCGGCACCGCGACTTGGGCGATTCCGATTCCAGCGCCCCTGGCGGGAAACCAAGTCGACCATTAAGGCTGACCTTGGCTCACCCGGTCAGAACGCTTCCAGTCGCTACTCCGTGAAGACCCCGGAGAGGGGGGAGGGGGGACTCTTTGTATATATACACATATATTCTTTATCTGTACCTGAATAATTTAGTTCAGCCTCACCTAGTTTCTTACTGAAATTCACCATCTGCTTGGACCCGATTTGGAACTGCCCCAACTTCATAACTGGTATTTGTAGTCACTATCAATGGTTTACCCACATCAGCATTCACAAGAATAGGTACTGATATAAAAGTTTCTTTTAAAGTTTGAAAAGCAGCCTTACACTGATGACTCCAATGAAATATTGCCGCATTTTTAGTGAGTCTTGTTAAAGATAATGCTATTTTAGGAAAGCTCTATATGAGGTCTATAAAATACTCACTGCCTGTTGCAACCTCAACCATCTCCTCCAGACGGGGGAGTGGAAATATATCTTTTGCAAGATGTTCATTTACTCTACAATAGTCAAGATACATACTCATAACTGTTCTCTGTTGGATGGTACCTATGTGATCTAGAAGTGTAAGGGTGGTTTTGGCTTGGGTGAGAATGGGGATAGGGCAGGGAGGGGGGGGGTAGGGGGAAGGGTATGGATAGGAAGGGGAGAAGTGATAGGAGAGGGATCGGGAATTTTTCTTTTCCTTTCTTTTATCCTTCAATTTGTTTAATAGCATAACAACTAGTGTTCTTCCTTCGTTACATTCTAGTCCTGTCTTATCAAAATCTTTCAACAAAATCCTTTATTTCATAATTTGGATTTTTAACATAGCTTTGTAATCCGTACCTGTTTATTCTCTGGGATGGTTTGTACCAACATTTGCTTAGCTCTTTAGTCAAACTTGGATATTTTTTTCCAGTAAACATTTCTTTTGTATTGATCTGCATAGGACCTTTAATATATTTGCAAACTGTGCATTTTCTTCTAAGCTAAACTGACTTGCACGCATCTACCCACAGGTAGCTTTTATTACTGGGGTCAAGTTTACTTTTAAAAAGTCCCAATTTCCCCTTCTTTCACTTGATCATTCATCATCTCCTGAAGGATTCTGTCTTAAAGTTATATTCATTCCGTCTTCATCTCTACTTGTGAAACTGGGTTGTTTCGTGGAAATGGGCAGTTGGCTGGAAACTTTGGCTGGTTCTTTGGTGGAAATTAGGCCGTTTGGTGGAAACTGGGGGTTTTGGTGAAAATATGCTGTTTGCTGAAAATTAGACTTTGCTGGAAACTGGGGTATTTGTTTCGAATTATGCTGTTTGCTGGAAATTAGACTGCTAGATACTGGGTAGTTTGTTAGAAAATGAGCTAATCGTTTTGTTTTGTTTTCTTAAAGTTGTATGTATATATATAGGTATATATATATATATATATAAGTATCATTTTATATATGTGTCTGCACGCACACACACATCGTTTTTACACAGGAGGAGGAAATGTCGGCACGCACACACACATCGTTTTTACACAGGAGGAGGAAATGTGTTTAATCTTAACGAGAAATTTCCGTGTTTGTTCAGGACTCATTCTTTGAAATGACAAGTAACCGTGGAAACTTAAAAGCAAATCAGAATATCAAAAATAGATCCCTCAGAAAGAATGAAATAAAAGGGATAGACAAGGACAAGGACCAGATGAGATTTCTGATTGGGTTCTGAGGGAATGTGCCGAAGATCTGTGCACTCCGTTTCTGTTAATATTTCAAAATTCAGTGAGACAAGGAAAACTACCAGAAGATTGGAAACTCGCCAGTATTACCCCTTTATATAAGAGTCGACAAACAAACCCCTCTAGATTATAAGCCAGTTTCGTTAAACAGTGGAGTATGTAATCTGTTAGAAAGGATAACCTGGAAACGGTGAGGTGAAGTGCCTGAAAAACACGATTTGAGCTTCCGAAATATTACAGGAAAGAGACAGTTATGTGGATTGTGTCTACTTTAACTTTAAAAAGGCATTTATAAAGTAAATATTTATGTATGTTTATATACATAGATATGTATGTAAATATGTGGATATATATACATGTGTGTGTATGATGTATATAGATAGATATATGTTATGTATATATACACAGACACAGAAACACTCATTGAAAATTTGGATGTTTGCTAGATTTTTTTTTTTTTTTTTTTTTTTTTTTTTTTTTTTTTTTTTTTTTTTAAGGAAATTAGACTTTTACTGGAAGCTAGGATGTTTATTGGAAATTAGAATGTTTTCTGGAACTGAGCATTTTCGTGAAAATTGGGCTGTTTGCTAGATATTGGGATGTTTGGTGGAAATTGGGTTGTTTGTGAGAAAATTGGACTCTTTGCTGGAAATTAGACTGCTAGATACTGGGTAGTTTGTTAGAAAATGAGCTAATCGTTTTGTTTTGTTTTCTTAAAGTTGTATGTATATATATATATATAATATATATATATATATATATATATATATATATATATCAGTTTATATATGTTTTCACACAAACATGGACGCGCACACACATCGTTTATACTAAGGAGAAATGTGTTTGATTTTTAAATGAGGAATTTCAGTTAGTCTTTGTTTGTTAGAATGATGTCAAAAACCTAACTTTCTCAGAGTCATTGAAACAAGGCACAATCCCCCAAGAAAAGCTGTGAGCCAAAATGTGCAATAATGTATCACGTTATATATATATATATATATATATGTATGTATATATATATATATCAGTTTATATATGTTTTCACACAAACATGGACGCGCACACACATCGTTTATACTAAGGAGAAATGTGTTTGATTTTTAAATGAGGAATTTCAGTTAGTCTTTGTTTGTTAGAATGATGTCAAAAACCTAACTTTCTCAGAGTCATTGAAACAAGGCACAATCCCCCAAGAAAAGCTGTGAGCCAAAATGTGCAATAATGTATCACGTTATATATATATATATATATATATATATAAGTGTATAATTTTATATATGTGTCTGCACGCACACACACATCGTTTTTACAAAGGAGGAGGAAATGTGTTCAATCTTAACGAGAAATTTCAGTGTTTGTTCAGGACTCATTCTTTGAAATGACAAGTAACCGTGCAAACTTAAAAGCAAATCAGAATATCAAAAATAGATCACTCAGAAAGAATGAAATAAAAGGGTTAGACAAGGACAAGGACCAGATGAGATTTCTGATTGGATTCTGAGGGAATGTGCCGAAGATCTGTGCACTCCGTTTCTGTTAATATTTCAAAATTCAGTGAGACAAGGAAAACTACCAGAAGATTGGAAACTCGCCAGTATTACCCCTTTATATAAGAGTCGACAAACAAAGCCCTCTAGATTATAAGCCAGTTTCGTTAAACAGTGGAGTATGTAATCTGTTAGAAAGGATAACCAGGAAACGGTGAGGTGAAGTGCCTGAAAAACACGATTTGAGCTTCCGAAATATTACAGGAAAGAGACAGTTATGTGGATTGTGTCTACTTTAACTTTAAAAAGGCATTTATAAAGTAAATATTTATGTATGTTTATATACATAGATATGTATGTAAATATGTGGATATATATACATGTGTGTGTATGATGTATATAGATAGATATGTGCTATGTATATATACACAGACACAGAAACACTCATTGAAAATTTGGATGTTTGCTAGATTTTTTTTTTTTTTTTTTTTTTTTTTTTTTTTTTGTTTTGTTTTCTTAAAGTTGTATGTATATATATATATATAAGTATCATTTTATATATGTGTCTGCACGCACACACACATCGTTTTTACACAGGAGGAGGAAATGTGTTTAATCTTAACGAGAAATTTCAGTGTTTGTTCAGGACTCATTCTTTGAAATGACAAGTAACCGTGCAAACTTAAAAGCAAATCAGAATATCAAAAATAGATCCCTCAGAAAGAATGAAATAAAAGGGATAGACAAGGACAAGGACCAGATGAGATTTCTGATTGGGTTCTGAGGGAATGTGCCGAAGATCTGTGCACTCCGTTTCTGTTAATATTTCAAAATTCAGTGAGACAAGGAAAACTACCAGAAGATTGGAAACTCGCCAGTATTACCCCTTTATATAAGAGTCGACAAACAAAGCCCTCTAGATTATAAGCCAGTTTCGTTAAACAGTGGAGTATGTAATCTGTTAGAAAGGATAACCAGGAAACGGTGAGGTGAAGTGCCTGAAAAACACGATTTGAGCTTCCGAAATATTACAGGAAAGAGACAGTTATGTGGATTGTGTCTACTTTAACTTTAAAAAGGCATTTATAAAGTAAATATTTATGTATGTTTATATACATAGATATGTATGTAAATATGTGGATATATATACATGTGTGTGTATGATGTATATAGATAGATATGTGCTATGTATATATACACAGACACAGAAACACTCATTGAAAATTTGGATGTTTGCTAGATTTTTTTTTTTTTTTTTTTTTTTTTTTTTTTTTTTTTTTTTTTTTTTTTTTAAGGAAATTAGACTTTTACTGGAAGCTAGGATGTTTATTGGAAATTAGAATGTTTTCTGGAACTGAGCATTTTCGTGAAAATTGGGCTGTTTGCTAGATATTGGGATGTTTGGTGGAAATTGGGTTGTTTGTGAGAAATTGGACTCTTTGCTGGAAATTAGGTTGTTTGCAGGAAACTGGGCTGTTTGTTGGAAATTGACTGTTTGAACTGATCGTTTGCTAGAAATTGGACTTTGATAGAAACTGGGCTGTTTGCTTTATATATACATATATATACATATATATATGTATATATATATATCAGTTTATATATGTTTGCACACAAACATGGACGCGCACACACATCGTTTATACTAAGGAGAAATGTGTTTGATTTTTAAATGAGGCATTTCAGTTAGTC